TCATCAAAAAATGGGCAAAGGAAATGAACAGACACTTCACCAAAAAAGACATTCAAGCAGCTAGGAGACATATGAGGAAATGCTTGCGATCACTAGCCATTAGAGAAACACAAATCAAAACCACAATGAGATACCATCTCCCCCCGGCATTACTGGCACGAATCAAAAAAAAACAGAAAATAACAAATGTTGGAAAGGCTGCAGGGAGACTGGAACTCTTACGCATTGCTGGTGGGAATGTAAAATGGTACAACCACTATGGAAAACGATATGAAGCCTCCGTAAAAAGCCAGAAATAGAAATATCATACAATCCAGCAACTCTGCTCCTAGGACTGTATCTTAGAGAAATAAGAGCTCTCACGTGAATAGACATATGCACATCCATGTTCATTGCAGCATTATTCAAAATAGCAAAAAGATGGAAACAACCTAAGCGCCCATCAACAAATGAATGGATAAACAAATTATGGTACATACACACAATGGAATACTACGCAAGGATAAAGAACAATGATGAATCTTCGAAGCATCTCACAACATGGATGAATCTGGAGGGCGTTATGCTGAATGAAATGTCAATCACAAAAGGACAAAGATTGTACAAGACCACTATTATAAAAACCCAAGAAAAGGTTAACACACAGAAAAAAAACAGTCTTTGATGGTTACAAGGGACGGGAGGGCAGGGGAGAGGAAATCACTAACTAGATAGTAGACAAGTATTTTGGTGAAGGGAAAGACAACACACAATACAGAGGAAGTCAGCACAACTTGATCAAGGCAAAGTCATAGAAGCTTCGTAGACACATCAAACACCTTGAGGGCCCGAGTTACTGGGGCTGAGGGCTGGGGATCCTGGTCTCGGTGGACATCTAGGTCAACTGGCATAACTAGTTCATAAAGAAAATGTTCTACAATCTACTTTGGTGAGAAGCATCTGGGGTCTTAAAAGCTTGCAAGCAGCCATCTAAGATACATCTATTGGTTCCAGCGTGTTCGGAGCAAAGAAGAATGAAGAAAATCAAAGACACAAGGAAAATATTAGTCCAAAGAACTAATGGACCACATGAACCACAGCTTCCACCAGCCTGAGCCCAGAAGAACTAGATGGTGCTCGGCCACTACCACCAACTGCTCTGACAAGGATCACAGTAGAGGGTCCTGAACAGAGCAGGAGAAAAATATAGAATAAAATTAAAATTCACAAAAAAAGACCAGACTTACTGGTCTGACAAGAGACTGGAGGAACCCTGAGACTATGGCTCCTGGGCACCCTGCTAACTCACAACTGAAGCCACTCCCGAAGTCCACCTTTCAGCCAAAGATTAGACAGGTCTATAAAACAAACAATAACACACATGGGGAACATTCTTCTTAGTTCAATCAAGTATATGAGACCAAATGGACAACACCTTCCCAAAAGCAAAGATGAGAAGGCATGAAGGGACAGGAAAACTGGACAAATGGATGTGGGGGACCCAGGGTGGAAAGGGAAAGGGGGAGAGTGCTCACACATTGTGGGGATTGCAACTAATGTCACAAAACAATTTGTGTATAAATTTTCTAATGAAAAACTATATGTAAGCTTCAAGACATTACCTCTCCATATCACCTTGTCTGTCCTTTCCTTCACCTACTTGTGGACCT